TAGTTGCAGTTTATCTCATTTTGCACACGCTGAACAAGCTCCTCATCGATGGCATACTGTATTGCTGTCTGGATGACATCCAGCCACCAAGGGGAACCGGAACGTATCTGCATGCCAAAGAACAGATTTATTTGTGAACATTCAATAAATAACCAGTTTACTCATTGCAGCAGAGACTTGTGTTGCTCTTTAGGCCTCAAACACAGAATATTGAATTCCATAGGAAGTTACCAGGCCATGGGGATATACTCATAACCTACCCCTTTTCCTAACAAGAGGATACATGAAGAAGGTGAATTAATATAGAAAAGACAATTTTGGTCATGCATTTTAATACAAATAACATTTAATCACATGCCTTCATCAAATCATTAATATTTTATAACTTCCCATTGAACCTGACTTGTCCCAAAGACTAAATGCAGTTAAGCATTAAGCCCAATGACTAAATGCATGTTAGAACAAACAACAAAAAAAGAACTTTTTTTTTTTTAAATAACTGAAATCCTATCTGAAATATTTCAGAAATATTTCAAGGCCAAAACCTGTAACTTCTAGAACTAAACTATATATGAAAAATAGATAATATAAAGCTAAAAATTATCTTAAACTCTATCAGAATCATCCCACCATGACTCTGTACTTATCTTTCTAGACATCTGTTCATCATGTATTGTAGGTTCTTTTAAGTAAGGAACACAGAATACAATTTTAGGCTCTGTGTGCTTGCACTGTCCAACTCCCATTACCACTGAGGCTTGAAGGAATTGTTAGAGATCAATACTTGAAGTTCAGGATAAACAGATGAAAATTATTAAAAAAAAAAACCACAAGCTAAATATGCAAGAGATACCTGCCTTTCTCTGGAGATCCCGAATCGTCTGCAGAACTGGCTGTAAGGCCTGATGGGCTTCAGCAACTTCTGCATTGGATTTACTCATATAATGCTTCCGAAGTTGTTCTGCCTATATGAAGATGGCAATATAAGTCTTGCATAACTTATTTATATTTATAGTGCCTAATTAAATATATAAAAATTCCTCAGCTACCATGCAATTTTAGAACGGCTAGTGACCTAAAGTGCATAATCTAGCTACCTATATTTCTGAGCAAAATATAGCACTATTTTTTTTTCCTCTAGAATCTGGCATTTATTAAGCCTAAAAAACTTTTAGGCTATTATTAAGCCTAACAAAAAAACTTGTGAAGATAAACTATTACAAAGACATTAACTATACAGTTTTAAAGTATACGTTACATTGAACCTGCAAAGTAAAAACATACTGGAATAATCTGAGTGCAGCATGATTTAACTATATATGCTACATGCCTATACACTAACAAGAAAAGCTGAAATTAAATTTAATTTTTTTAGGTGAAAGTATATTTAACAAAAATTACTTCTGACAGTGAAAATCCCTTGTGGCATCTGATGCTATAAAAGATTTAAATCACTACCAGTTCATCTGATATTTTAACATCTGCTGAACAAACAAATTATGCCTCAGATGTGATAGGTATGTACGTCTTCACCATTACGTTCATTAGATTTTGTGCTTTCAAGGGTGTGTTAAACGTTTCATTTTGTTTGGTTCATTTTTCATTTTGCTTGCCAAAATCAAAATAATTATATTATTGTTATGGATGAAGCTTAGTTACTGAAAACAGAGAAGACTCAAGTATTAGATGAGCTGTTTGTGACAGATGGCTCTGAAGAGCTATCTCCATTTTTCATGTTTAAATAAAACACAAAATTTTCAACCCTGTTCCCCATAACCTCAGGAGAAGATGTAAATAAGTTGCTATGACTGCAGGACATAAAAAATTGACAGTCTTTCTACAAAGGCTGATAGAAACCTATTTAAATCTACCTATCCAAAGGGTTTAAATCAGTTTTTTGAGATGCTCAAACATAATTTTATCAATCTCTCCCTAAATACTCAGGATATTCCTATACCTGGAGATGTGCATTTGAAATAGTCATTCTTTACTCATGCAGATGACATTTGTAAGAACAATCTGTTAACATTTAACTATAGAAACTAGTTCAAAGAAAAGTTTTAACTACTTGTTACTATATTGAGACAAAAAGGAAGGGGAATTTGGGCCAAAAATGGCCTAAAATCTTGTCTATTTGGGGCGACTAGTGTGCAGTAAATTAGGATGCAATTTAACAAAGTAGCTAATTCAGATGAAATTCCTCTGTCACACCTCCTCACACAAAAGAAGTGCACAGCAGGCACAAAGAGATTCAACACTAAGTTAGGAGACAGCAGCCAATATGTCAGTAATTTGCATACCTATAATTACAGCACATAAGTAATTTCTAGGGGGAAGGACCACCAATCATGATCTTGGTGATGAAAGTTTCAGGAAATAAAAATGCCATATGTTTTCAGGTTTTATTATTTTTTATTCTGTACACAAAGAAAATCCCCAAAGAAGATCTTAAAAAGTCAAGTGTTCAACCACTTTTGTCATTGCTGGATCGGTAAAAACTCACCCCCATTCATCAACTTAAGCAACTTGGGACTAGACACAAAGATCTATTAGAATGTTTCTGGGAGAAAAAAAATGCTGCCTAAACACAGAATTTGCATTAAAAAATATAACAAGATACCAATGAAACAAGACACAAACTGATCCCTACCACACAAGTGGAGAGGCTAGGAGAAATGGATTTGTCCAGTCTGCGAAACAGAAGATTTTAGAGCACAAAAAACAACTTTCCAGCAGCTAAGAGAAGGTTACTGAGAAGCCAGGCACTTTTCTGAAGTGCATGGCTAGAGAACAAGTAACAAAGGTTATAAATTGGAATGGGAGGTTCCCAAAGGGAAATTTTTCTTTCGCTGTAAGGTTAATTAAGTATGGGAACAGCATGTCCATAGAAGCTGCAAAGCTTCTGTACTAGCAGATTTCAAAGTCCCAGCTGGAACAAAGGCCAGAGCTACACAGCCAGAAATCAGCACTGAGCCTGCACTGAGTAGGAAGCTGGACTAGAGACCTCCCCAAGGTCCTTTCCTGCCTTAATGACTCCACAATAACAATGATCTTTTGCAAACATGGGCCCTATGTCCACCAGAAGTAACCAGTGGGGAACAACGATACCAGCTATCTTAAAGAGATTTCATTGTTGAGGATATAGCTATACAGCCTGATGTAACCAGGAACTTATAGTGACTTGCTTTTCAAACTTTCCAGACACACAGGAAGTCAGAGAGTCAATGGGAAGAATCAGTTGCAACAGGGCATGTGACTGAGTAACACATGGAGGGACTGGGTAGACCCCAAGGATGAGATTCAGGTGATGAAAGAAACTGAAAATAAGACCTGAAACATGAAAGTTATTTATTGCTGTTTCTTTATGTAGATAAAACAATCAAGTATTTTTTTCTGAGATGTATTTATACAAAAATTGAGCAATACTTACCTCTTCTGCAAGTCGGCTATCACGCAAAGTTGGTGGAATTCCTGGGTGCTTTGCCAGCAACAATTCCATCAAATTGTGTGTAGAATGAAGTCTCTGAAAAAACAAAGTCAGCCATAATCATGAAAAAATATTCCATCACTTGTGACAGGAAAAGATTAATCAGCAACAAAATTCTATACCAAGAAATTAACATTCATTTAAAATAAGATTTTTTCTCAAACTGAAGGGACCATAGTCCTCATTGTAGGTGGGGAAATAAAACACAGAACAACAACAACACAGTCTTCTAAGATCTGACAGCAAATCACCAGCAAAATCTGATATGAAGTCTTCTGATTCTGTTCTATAATCATCCTCTAATTGAAGCTGCCCTTGACTATTACAGGAAATAGTTATTTCCCTTAAGGCATATTCTTTTGTAATAATTTTCAGAATGTAATGCAAAAATAAGTCACTTAGGCCATCTAAAGCAAACTAAAATATAAGGAAAAGACAGCTCCCAAAGCTTCAAGCATCTTTATATTTTTCATTTTTCTGAAATAAAAGATAATTTGAAAACAAAAGACTTTTTGTTTATTTTTAGGGAGAATAAATTTGATCACTAATTATGCATATATTGGCTCATTCTCTCTATGGGTATGTATACAAATATATATAAATATATGCATGTCAGTGTATCACACCAAATCATACTGGATGTCTCCACCATTGGGATCTAGTACCCTTTTTACCTCCCTAATTCAACTTTGTCCTGTTACTGTGTCACCCCCCGAACAGCATTAACCAGTACTGGCTTTCTATGTTCTAAAACAGTCAGCGCTACACAACCAAGAAGCGCTCAACAACAGCTGAGTCTTACCACACAACAGCAATACACATTTTCAGGAAAAAAAAAAAAAAAAGCTTTATATTCAATTCAGTATAATGGCGTCCTCATAATTAAAAAACTTATGCTGGTATAGGTAACCTGAGTGGAAAAATGCCTCTAGAATTCAAAAAGGAGAAGCGTGGGTAAAAGAACAGAATGGAATTATGAAAACGTAATGATCATGTAGAAGAATATTTTACTCCACTTAGTGAAGGAAAGAAAAAAAAACAGAAAACTGCTAACTTCTTATTTCTCTATCTAAATAACTACTACTAAGAAACCTAAAATATCTTGCTATGCTGAAAAATGCTAATTTTAATCATTTTAGAACTGATACTTCTTTGAAGAAATATAAAGATGCTGGTTACAGCATCATTATTTCTTCATTCATCTCATTTTTATTAAAGCACTCAAAAATATACAAGCTTCAGTTCTTTTTCACGTTTTGATGTGCCTTCAGGAACATCTTCTGCCGTGTGACACCTTTTACTTCTTCAATGTGACATACTTGTATCATTCTGAATGCCACTCCAGCATCCTCTATTTGCACTAGTCTGTAACAAAGTGCTATTAATGTGAGTAGTCGCACAGGGAAGTCTAGGGATGCAGCTTGCTAAGTTTTATTACAGAACAGCAGGTGGAGATCATACACTGCTTCTGAGGTAGCATCAAGAATGACACGGAAAAGCTTTTTAGAAATAGCATGATTCGCAAAAAGAAGAAATGTGAAGGTCACAGAATACTATTTAAATATTGTGATGATGATAACAGCCTGAAAAAGTCATCTGGCATGCGCTAAGGGGAGGAATAAAAGACTAACCTGACAAAAAAATCTAGAGTATTCCAACTCTTAATTGTGTCTTTATATTTGGATTTTCACTCACTTGTAAGGAATCAGTTTTGAGCTTTTCTTTGTGTTCTTCAGAAGAACGCAACACTTCTCTGTACAGCTCTGCAGCCAGTGCATATTCTCCTGAATAAAATAAGTAAAAATTTTTAAAGCGCACACACATACACATTGTGTTGGTCTTTAAATACCCAAGCAGGCAGCACTCATACTTGCTATGTACTAAAATGTTTCTGGAAGGGCTGTTCTGTATATGCTTATCTCCACAAAATGTGTTACAAGTATTCTATTTACAAGAACTAAATCATCTTCCAAGATCAGTTGTCCATGGCTAATTTGCTTTACTTGTTTATCTTTGTGTGGTACGAATAAGGTTTTATGTAAGTAGCACTAACAAGTTATTCTATGTAAAATGAGATATTTAGGACTAACACACAGCGAAGTGAAACGTAGGCGCAGCACAAATAGCAGAGGCCTTGAGAAAAGGGGAGACACAGGATGAATTAAAGAGGTGTATGAGCTATGAGATAGCGCACAGGCTTTGCACTGAAGACCCTGCAGCTATAAAAACTCACCCATAATCAGGTAATGAAATACAAAAATGGAGTTGAATAAAATTGGTTTTAGGAGTAACAAAGAGAACAAATAAATAGTATCTGACACATGCAAAAGCATCCTATGACAGTAAATTTGACTGTAACGCAGAACTGTGGACAAATGAAGACAGAAATGGGTAAAAGCATCTCAAACACACAAACGACTCCAGGTGAATCACTGAGTGAGGAAGAAGAAACCATAAACACAAGCATCATTTTCCTCCTGGCAAAAAAAAACCTTCGGATATTGACAACTCACATTCCCACCACTGGAATGAACCTGCCAACTCAAAAGATTACTGAAAGGGTGAACATAACACCAAGAAAAGGCAGAGCAACAAATTCTTAGCTTAAGGTGTGCTTCATCCTAGCTCATTAACAAGATCTTGCATGTAACAAATAGGCAGAGATACAGGCAGCTCTTCTGGGAGCCTTACAGCATTTTAGGGGACAACCTTTATGGCAAGTTGGGGCAGTCCTTTTGTATATAGTCTAGAGATAAGTAATTGCTCTCCTGGTATTCTGTGAACATGAATTCCTTTGATCCTGGCAGTATTTCATTTGAAGTAAAACTGATTTATTGGCAACCTTGACAGAGCTTTTTACACTAATGCAAAATCTGAAGAGTGAATTAGAAGCTTTGAGCTATAATAACCAGAGGTGCAGAGTTCTCTACCTCTGTCAGGGAGGAGAGGCAGTTCAAACCGGAACAGTGGGAAGCAAGTCTGCCAGATTTGTGTTTGTATTTATATAAGAGTGATAATATATTTGTAGAAGAAGTGTTTGTATTTATTGCCTTTCATTAAGGTAAGTAACAAAAGCAGTTTGTTCGTTACAGTCTTTCATGTTTATGATTAGGTCATGTAAATATAGTTTGCTTAGCAGGACATTTAAGTTTCACGTAATTATTTTTGTTTTCCTGTTCAGAGCTTTTTTTTTCCCCAGTTCAATCCAAATACATATTGAGAGATTTGGATAGCAAAAAGCACTAATACAAGTGCTAGGCAAAAGCAAAGCCCCTCAGAACGCAGCCAACAGACAGATTGGAGTCAACATGGCAAGAGAATACATATTGAGAGATTTGGATAGCAAGAAGCACTAATACAAAAGCAAAGCCCCTCAGAACACAGCCAACAGACAGACTGGAGTCAGCATGGCAAGAAGTATGAAGGAAACCCAGAAAGTAACACTGATTCAACACAAGTACTTTAAGTAGAATTAGAGTGTCATTTTTTATCTTCTCAGTACACAGGAAAACTGGAAATACTATGAGACATCTCGAGGATGCAACAAACCACATCTATTATTTTCTCCCTCATTCAAGAGGGAGAAAGATCCTCTCTAGTTTCCCAAGATTTCATTATAAGATTTTTCTTGAATGTAGAATGTCAACCACTTTTATGTGGTGTCCTCGAAGCCATAATTAGTCTCCTAGAAGGTGTGACGAGCAGGCTAAGCAGTCCAGTCTCACCTTTGATGATATGGATGCCTGCTAAGCCATTAAGAGCGCACACCAGCTGCCGGTGAGCTTCCTCGCACTCTGTTCGACACTTCTTCTGCAACGAAGTTAACAATTCCTCCATGGTCATGGTGCTGAAATACAGATCAAATGGCTAAAACTTGAAACAAAAAGACAGCAGCACACAAGTAAGACTATCATACTGTGCAGTATGACTGTTACAACAAACATATTGTGCAAATGTTTACTAGACATTTTTAGAAACAACATAGTTCTGTCAGCTTCTGTTCCACCTGCAGCTATGCCCTATCTAACCTGAAAGAGTATTTCAAAAGGACGAAATCTCCTAAAAATAGAAACCAAAAAGCAACAAGGACAAAAAAAAAGTTAAGAAAAATCTCTTCACGGTGCAGAATACTTTGCTCAATTTATTACAAGAAACAACTGAGAATAGATCTCATATTGCTAGAAGCTGTTCAAATGAAAACAGCAAGACAGCCTATATACTTTCCCTCTCAATGTAAACATGAAAAAGTGATGACTTAGAGAGGTAGAGAGAAATGTGTGGAGAATGAGAACAGTGAAATTACCAAGCATCCCTTAAAGATACTGTTTTTCTACATTCATTATTATTTGTAATTCTACAGAGAAATTTAATTAGGAGAGAATTAGTTGGAAAGGAAGACATAAGAAACACAAGCAGGAACAGGGATGAGAAGAAAGAACGAAGATAGAAGAATGCCTTGGATAAGGCAAATGGGCGCAGAGGTCAAGCAGGAAGATGACTGATGCAAAGGGACAGGACATCAGTCTTCAACACCTGACCTGAGGCTGCTTTATGACCCACTGCTGCTTTGAGACCAGAGACTACCACTTTCCAGAGAGCTATTTACTATTTGAGATTTAGTGCTCTGAAATCAAGTGACATCACCCCCAAGCAGGATATCTTTGAAAAGGGCTTTATTGCCCCCTCTCATAACACGATTCTATGCACAGGAACTGGTCTCTGAGTTAGTGTTATACTAGAGCAGGCTTTTAATTAATAGCATCACTGTTTGAAATTAGCTCAATTCTGCAGATGCACTGGCAGATACACACACGTCACCTGCTGTTCGTACTTCAGTATTTCCACTCATTGCTCTTTATCTTTCATTTTCAAAGCCCTCAGCAGTTTCAAGGAAAAGTCTCTGCACATCCTTTTACAAACGACACAATTTGCTTTACTTAAAATCCGAGATTAGCAATTAAGACAAAAAGTTTTTGACTCGGTTTAACTATGGAACCTAAAAAATGCCCTTATGAGGACTGTATTTTTGCCAAGTAGATGTTCTCACTTCTTTCACTAAGCAGGCAGGAAAAAGATCATCTAGTATAGAACATGTTCCAAGGTCTGTGTTTCTCACTAAGCAGGCAGGAAAAAGATCATCATCTAGTATAGAACATGTTCCAAGTCCAATTTCTTTTATCCCCATGTTCCAACACCATCTTTGTAGTTTCAGCTCAGTTCCTCTTATTCATCAGAGTTCCTGGTACTGAATTTCTTGATTATTCTCACACACAACCACATTCAGGAGCCAAAATTTCTGCCTATTCTGGAAATGTCCATTACTGCAGTCAGGCTTGGTTCATGAGAAAGATATATCAAGAGTGCTTGGAAACAGCTTTTCCTTGCATGTATCTTTTTAAGAAAAAATAATTTTTACTGCTGTTATTCTTTTCACCAAAGTTACTATGCTGCCGTCCCCCTTGCAGGCATTCCAGTGAAATCGATGCAGTACTAAGACATCCCCAACATACTCATACTCAGCTTAACTCATGTTTCACTTGTACTCTGCTGGATCACTCTGCTGCAAAGGGTAATACTGTATGGGTGAATACTGATGTTTTTCCATGTTTCAGTCATTTCTTCCACATTAGTGGAAGATTTTCTGCCCGTCAGGCACAAAATGCTCCAGCATGATGCCTGTTATTGGTCCCTGCTGTAGTAGCTGCAAAGTTAGTTACGACTGCTTAGGCACATTCAAGGTGTCCTATAAGGAAAAGAAGGAGTAGGACACAAAACTTCATAAAAGGATAGAAGAAAAATGGACAGCATGGGCAATTAAGAGCAGGAAACAATAGAAACAGTAAGTGTAGTATGTATTAAGGTTAAGTTCTTCCCTGCCTGCTACTTAAACAAGAGAGGCAATGCTCTGAGAGCCTGGAATAGGCTTTCACTTTAAAGGCTTTCAAGGGTGGATCTCGATAAAAAATCTGTAACCTGATATTACATTTGATTTAATTCGAATTACTCTGTTCTATTTACCCTTTGTTCATTGTTCTCATTTTTTTAACTGAATCTGTTTTGTTTAATGCTATAAATATAAGCTGCAACATTTTAGAATCCATCAGCATCATGAGGTTAAAATACTAATGCACAAAAAGATGTCTTCTCTAACACAAGAATTATCCTAACCGCAATACTGCCTCCTATTAAATTCTAATATCCCATACCTTGGTGTGACATAGTTGCACATGTTTTGCTGAACAAGCTTAAAATTAAGACTTACTTTAAATTGCACAAGATCTTGCCCCAGCAGCAATAATTGGACATTTGCTTTGAATAAGCACACCATTTAGGATGTGAAAAATAATCACCTTTTCTGTAACGGCAAAAACTCTCCCCGAACAGCTTGGGGATGACAGCAGGCCTGCCTCAGCCGCAGCAAAGGGTACAGAATAGAAGTCACGGTCCTTCTATCTAGGCTGCTGAGCTTAAGGGTCCAATCTGAAATCTTCCTCAGTTTTGCCAGGGCATCCTGGCAGCACACATCGTGCTGGCGATGATAGAAGTGTCTCTCCACAGGAGAAAAGTGAAGCCAGTGTACGTTTTCTGTCTGGGGGGGGATTTGAATCTGTAAGTAAGAAAGAAAATAAGTAATTTGCAAATAAAACTATCGATTCAACATACTAAGAAACTTAAAAAACAACAACAACAAAAAAAAAACAAAAAAAACATTTACTTGATCAATCACATCCTCCTTTGCTGATCTCCACATTATCTTGGCAATTAGGCTGTAGAGAGGCCGAGAATTTTTTCTACAGTAAGGTCGATATAACAGTTGGTCCCACCAATGTTTGACCCAGTAAGGATCAACTCCAAGAAAAAGGACTAAGCCATAGAGATCTGCCAAGAAAAGAAGCTCTTTTAATACAACACTGTAATGTTTTAAAACTGCAGGACATGCCTCCAAAAGATAACTTTTCACAGAAAGGTTATCAGACAAAGTAGCTACTATTTAGCCATCTTTTCCATTTGTTTTCCAATCATTTCCTCATCTAAGAGTAGCTGGAGGCAGGGGAATGGGGTGGGGAGAAGTTATCTCCTTCGGTTAGGTACTGATTTTCCCAGAATTTTTAGAAATATGACTGTTCTTGAGATTTTCTTTTTAAAAAAAATAGTTTAGCTGAACTAAATAATTCTAAACCTAACTGGAACAAGGACATGAGGCAGAAATTGCATGATTACATATGGTTAGCTTGGGGTGCCAGGTTTTTGTAAAATTATATTGCTCAGTATCATTGCTTTGCAGCCTGCTGTGTGCCAACTGTCTACTGTTCACTATCCTAAAAGTGATTGCAATTCAGAAGGTTTCACTTCTCTATCACGGCAGAAGAAATTAATTTAAAAAAAAAAATCACTTTTATTCTTTACTTACCAACTGAGGGAATACAGCTTACCAATTCTCCCCAATTCAGAAGGCCACCATTTTTCAGGGACTAAATTTAAAGAATAAAGCTAACCTTAAGTTTGTACCTAAAACTCATTAGAAGTCTACAAAAACACATGTTTAAGTGCTGCATGTGAATGGTGCAAAAATAGATGGCAACATATGATGGTATCCTCAAGGCCTTAATGATCTCAGGCATAAACTCTGTTAGCTTTATGTTGATTCTGGCAATCAGCTGAGAGCTACTAAACATAATACCACACAAAACTGAGCCCAGAGAGAAGGAAAATCCTGACAGTTTTTTTCATATGCAGGAAGCACAAGTTCCTGCAGAGGTCCTATCCCACTTCACTATAGCAGCTCAGAAATCAGTCAGTGGTTCCCTTGTCCCGCATATGAAGGGGACTGCCTCTGTACAGCCTGAGAGGCTGACCAATGTGTACTACTGAAAACAAGGCATTTTAGAGTTAGCACTACCACAGGTAAGGACTTCAACAAGTTGATCACGATAATCAACTCAATCTCTTCTTCCCACAGTATTTCTTTATGACTATGTATTCTGACACCTCTTGTACGTAAAACTATAAATTCATACTCAATTCCATAACGGTTTAATCCACAGTACTGACTTTTATAATAATTTGGATCTGAACAGCAGTTCACAAATGTACACAGATTCATCCCCTTTCAAAACTATGGCCTCAGTTTGATGCCCTTTCCTTTCTCTCACCTGTCTGGAAACTGCTTACAGAAATGGGGCACCTCATGAAAATGACAAGATAAATGAGGTCTGCTTACATACATTCCCCTGCTTCACACCAGCATCTCAATTTATCAAGTCCTCAAATAAGGATTTATAACAGTTTCATAAAGCTTTAATATGATTTTTAGGATTTTTTAATCACTGTTGGTAAGTACATGGAAATTGACGGCCACAGCAGTTTTAGAAGGCTATGCAAGATATAGCAGCACATCTGTATTTGATAGTTAGAAGGTTTCTGCAAAAGGAGCCTGTTGTCTTAAGCTGCAAGAGAAGGGGATAATATTTTCCCACTCTGCTGTAGAAAGGCAAAGGACAGAGTTGAGTCAGCTGTTCAACACAGATCTCCACTCCTGCAAGCATTTGCTTAATTCGGATAGAAGAGAAAATTTCAGGCCTGCAATTTTTGTATCAGTGACATTTATTGATGACTGTCTTCAAAGCAAAATAACGTGCCAGTAATTTGCAGTTCTATAAGTACATCTTCAGCTAGGAGATGTAGGCCACAAAATCAGCTACATTAACATCACTCAAAGGAAACTCTGCTATGCTGAAAAGATATAGTCAACATTTTGTATAGAAAGTTAAAATAAGTGAAAACAGACTATCTTTTTGAACCTGCTTACACTGCATTTACTTGAATTTACTTGCATTTACTTTACTGAATTTTTCTGTTCTTAAAAAAGGCCTAAGTGAATGCAGTCCACAGTATTTTAAGTGCTGTAACCTAAGTTACTAGACTTTTTAACTCCTCCAAAGCAGCTGCCTAATCATCAGCACCAATGAAAACCCAAGGCTTACCTTCTAATCCTCGCTGCACAGGAGTGCCACTCACACACCAACGATTGACTCCACTTAAACGGAGTGCCATTTCAGCAGCCTAGCACAAGAAGACAGAACCAGTGGTAGGAAAATGAAAAAGACGACAGCGAAACAGACTCTAAAACAATATATATATGTTTTTCTGAGTTCTAATATCTTTCAGTATAAAAGACTAGCAAACTTATAGACAGTAATTTCGCAATACATTTTAAGTATGTATATAAAGGTATTGGACTTTCTTGAAGGCAACTGAAAGCTGCTAAAATCATATCTACCTTCAAATACATCTGCAAAAAAGCACACATAATAAAAAAATAAAAAAAAAAAGAAGAGAGAGAGAGAGAGACACTAATTAAAATAAACTCTACAGACTGCCGACTTAGAGACATTTTGGACTATTTTAGCTTCTAGACCCAAAGGCTATATGCATGCCTCTGAACCATGCCACTGAACAGGGCAGCATCTTGTTTGAAACTATCAAACACCATACACAACATGCTGACCTATGTCCTTAAGCTGTCAGTATAGATTATGTTAAGTATTTTTTGAGCTGAATATACTTCAGTTTGCCAAAATTTCAACAGGAGAAACACATGATAGTAAATATCTCCAAGGGAAAATAGACTACTAGTCACTTCTAAAGAACAAGCTACAAGGACAAGTTACACAAGTACATCCAATGTTAAGAGGAGTATTTCTAAAGAACAAGCTACAAGGACAAGTAAGAGGAGGAAAAAAAAATAGCAGCTCTATTTTCTTTTACTATTTACAACAAGCTTGTCAAAAGCTTTTCCAGTTCAATAAAGGCATGACTGGGAACAGCAAACCTTTGCAGTAGTGCACTCAACCATCTGTGCCTCGTCAAGGCAGATCCTCCACCACTCCACTGCTACCAAGGGGCTGGGGATGGCCATGTACCGCTTCTGGTTCCTGAAGCGGCGCCCGTCCTCGCTGTTACTGTGCGGGATGTCCACGTAGTTGAGCTCGGTGCGCAGAACATCGTACGTGGTGATGACCACCTCCTGTTCTGCCAGCATGTGGGGCTGCAGAAAGCCATGCTTCTTCACGCCTTGATACACCTGCACAGGCGACAGGGCAACAGGAAAGGGGGAACTTGAGAAACGCTCGTATGAAATGCAAAAATTTCCAGACAGCCTATTATGGCGTGCACTTTCAAAAGTGCCCCTAATATAATATTAAATAATTCAGACAACCTACATTTGTGTAATAACACAGGGGGAAATCCAAATAAGTAATACAGTTGATAAGTACAATAGATATTGATGTAAAATGTATATATGTATTTAACTCTATACAAAATATCAAATACTGATTTTTTCTTCTCTGAAGGTGTCTTTAGTATTTGCCACAACAGGTATATGTGATATTAAGTGTTCTGTAAAGCTGTACGGGGCAACATTACAGAAGTCAGTGTTACATGTTGACACTTCCATTGCACATTACCTTCCTTTTTTGTTTTATTCCCCCTAATAATCTCATCAAATATTACACAAGGATAGGAATATATATAGAAATAATTAAAAGCAAAAGCATTAACCAGATTATCATTTTTATTTGCAACTTAGTGACAAAAAATCCACATCTACCAACAGAATACATACGCCTTTCATAATGATATTCATTGCAATATCTAAAGTATTTTTATCTGCCTCCTCACTTCAAACATAATGGAAACACATAACAGTTTAATACTAAAAAAATTACAAGCTAAACTTTTTACTGTATTTCCCCACGTTAGCATGTGATATCTCAATAGAATGGAGCAAATGCAAATTATGAGTTCAACTAATACTTTTTAAAAGATCAAACAGGGTGTGATACAGGCATAATTTAACCAATAACATCCACTGAAAAAGGGGCATTTTGCCACCACTAGGATTTTTAGCTACTAAGGACAATTGCTACCAGAGCAATATGCCAAACATCTTTTTCCCCTCTCTCATACAAATTAATTTCCCTGCCTCCCAGTTTACCTCTGGAACTAGTTTCAAAATTACACACATTCTTGCTTACTTACATTTTTTTTTTTTAAATCACAGGCTACTTCTTATCGCTCACCCATATGAATGTCAATGTTAAAATGGATACGATTTATTTCTAAAGATTGGGATATTCATATATGCCACCAAAGAAATCTATATTCCAGTCTTATTTTCAAATATCTGGACTTTTTTCCCCTATTCTTCTCTCACTCTATTATTTTCTGCTCTATTATAGGAACAGTCTAGATCTTTAAGGATAAGAACAGACCAACAAATTTTTGTTTTGGCTATAAACACTTCTTTTTAATCATTTAAGAAAAAAACACACTATCCTACTCTGAATCAGAGTGTCAAAACCTTTAACATTCACTTTCATGGTTAACATCCCTGTTACTGTACTTTTTCTCTGTTGATGTCCTTACTTTATATTTCTCGTTATGGTAATATAGCATTTTTTAATCAATTGAAAGAAACATTTACTTACAATTCCTGCTCTGCCCTAGAACGTGTGACAACAGAGCACATGCAACCAGGTTACTGCACAAGAGCTGGAAGAGCAGAGAGAGGGAAAGCAGCTCAGTGAAGCAACTGAAAAATAGCTCTTGAAGTCTAATGATCTCTTGCAAGTATTTGTGAACAGATTTTCTGGAGGTTTATAACTCAGCCAAGTATGGGTTGTTCTCACATCAGCACAAAAAGACAACCTGCTACACAGAAAGCTCTATTGATAAATTCCTTGTTTTAAAACACAAAAGAGTTAGAATCTCCCACGGGTCATAAGCAGTTGAAAGAATTAAAAAACCACGCTCACATGCAAAACCTGCTAACGGAGGACATTGATTCTTTGAAGCTTCTAAACTATTTTCATTTCACTGAAAGTCAGTCTGGATGACTCACAGTTGGCAGTGAAAAAGAAAAAATCAAAATGGTGCCTTAGACTGGAACGTGTCACACAGTCTCAAGTGCTGACATCAGTTTTTAAGCTATTTTTACCATTATCATGTAAATTTATTTCTGACAGTTTTCACCAAAGCTGGTAAAAGCTGAATAAGGTCCTATGAAAACAGTGCAAGTTTTACACATCTGTGAGCTGTTCCACTGAACCTAGGGAGATTACCAACACAAATGCTTAGCAGGGAAACTGGGATTCATGTGTGTGTTTTACTTCCATGCAAGATAGAAGAAAATATAAGATATACTTCTGAATGCAAAGATTTCCCACTTTCGCTCTCACTATTACTGCTGCTGCTCTTTCCTCAGAATATACACAACCTAGAATTTACGAATCTCAGAGCACTCTGTCCTTACTAAGGTCCTTTCTTCCCAAAGGTAAAAAGGACAAGACTCGAGTATGTTATTAATAAGACAACAGTGGCCACCCTTCATTCCTAAAGTAATAGATATATGGCTATCCTGGAATTTTTAAAACATTTACTGTATTTATAATCAGGTTTGATTTAGTTACAGAGCTGTTCAGAACAAAGTAGGAGGTCAATATGTGATCTCCAGATAAAATCTTCTGCATTTATCAGGATGCTGCTTACCTAGACCCCAACCCAAGTTTTTAAAATGTTCCTTTAAGTCAACAGCAAGGCCTAGCCTAAGATTTCTTAGGTACATTCTGAAAAGAAGAAATTCAGCAGCACACTTTTAATCTATTTAAACATTCATTTTATCTAGAAAGAGTTGAAAGGCAACTGTGAGGAAGTTGTTAAAACACAGATGAACAGACAGATGGGACCTGCTAAGGTATCTATAGTTAGGCTTTCCCAAGATTCTCGATAATCTTTTTGAAGGGAAGAGACCTTTACTTCTCAGAAATCATGCTTTGCTGCTACTGCTCAAAACATATTGCCCTTTCATAAACATATCCAAGTCCACTATGTTGTCTCCTGATAAGCTCATAAGACAAAACAAAAACTGAAGTATTAAATTGAGATAACCCTTTGGGGGAATCAGTGAACAACTGAGTCCAAAGCGTAAGTGCTGGTCTACCAGTCAGAAAAGTGAAATTCTGTAACAGTGAATGAAAAGGCCTCAGAATTTCATGCGAGGCAGAGAGACTCTGACAGGAATCCCAGAACCCTGAAGAATAATTATAATATGAAGCAATACAATCATACCAGAACTCGAAGAGAAGACGATCTCACATGCCTGTTGATCTCATCTACCCACTGATGACAAATAGAACTTGGAGAAATTATCAGTGTTGCTCCTGTGGAAACAGGTTTCATTGCCACAAGGCAATGGGGACAGTAAAACGGCTTGATCTTCAGATTTTCCTCTTTGTAGTTAACACACTCTGCATGCTGCCATAAATAACACTTCAGGCACTGCACACGGGCTTTGCAGTCCACTAAGCCAAGCTCACCACAGATGCATTCAAAACGATATTCAGAGGTGTTGAATGGAAACACAGAACTGGTATGTTGCACACTATTGCCAGCATGTTCCTGGGAATCTGAGGACTGCTCCTTTCGAATGTCCTGTTGGGCATCAGCTGTACTTTTAGAAACCTCAAAATCAGGCTGACTCTTAATATCAGTGGAAACAGGGTTACCATACATGTCGGGATTCTTTGTTCTCACAGATTCTTGCTGAGTAGCATTCTCTTTTACACAGTTGCTGCGATCTGTTGTTGACTTCCTTCTACTTTTGCTAGTTGCACAATAATCATGTTCTTCTGTGGTGATATCCACCTGTAAAGGGGTTTTAATGACATTTTCGGAAGTAAGACCACTATTTCTTGATTCTTTGGTTTCAGTTTTAGCATCGGTCAAATACTTCTGAATCCTTTCTGAAGACGTTGCTATCTACAAAACAAAATTAACCAAGATAGTCAGACTTCCTCTCACCTTTTTTGAAAGGAAGCATAAATACCTCAAGACAGATAACATTTTATAAAATTTTGGTTTAGGTATTTAGTTACTGTTTACCAGCGTTTAAAACACCACTTCATTGTAACATGAAAACATGTGTCAGCTCCTGCAGCAGTATTTTAAAAGATTTATGACAGAGTTAATGTTTCAGTCCTAAGATTTGACCTACTTTTGTCATCTTCTGCTTTGTGAAGCTCAAAGCAAATGCTGAAGTTCTGTTTTCTGTAAGCCAGCCAGCACCCACTAAAGCAGCATGCACAAACATGTGCAAACTGCACACCTGGCAGTAACATGCATTTAGCATAAGACCTGCTTTTTCAACACACTCACAATTAGCCCTGGCAGTAACATGCATTTAGCATAAGTAAGGCCTGCTTTTTCAATACACTCACAATTAGTTAATGAAGCAAATTTTACCTGCTCTTTGGGTCTTTCTCGCTTCTTCTTTTCCTTGTAATTCTTTCCCAGCTTGAAAGAACCAGCCAGACCATGGCCTTTGACTTGCTCCACTACTTGTTCTGCAATTAGTTTTTCCAGAGTTCTTTTGAGAAGCCGTCTATTTCTCTGTACGTCATACCTATATATAGCACTGATATACTTAAATATTGCAATAATGGAAGCTCCTTTCTTCACATTCATCTCCTTTATAGCCGCTAATATCATAACTCGCAAGCCTATATGCAGAACAGCAAGAAAAAAAACAGCTCAGATCTAATAGAAATTACTTGGAGAAAGCACATTAGAGAATCTCTAAACAAAAGCACTCCCCATCTCCATCCAAAAAATGCAGAAAAATACAGCCAATAGTTTTGGTGATATATTACTTCAGTTAGCCCTACAAATCACTACAATCTACCAGTTTTCAGTGAAGAAGAGTAACAAAAGAAATAAGTCACTCAATTCTCTTACTGGAATGTATATAAATACATTATATTTCAGCCTGACAGAAATCTCTCCCACAAAACTACCTTCAATGACACAGAGCCCTGCAGGACAAGTACTGGTCTGGTGACTTCACATTGAAAACTGATCACCTGTTTCCAGCATGGAGTCCTACACTCTCGCACTCACCTCTGATGCGGGGCCAGCACCATGGTTATCAAAAGCATCAGCCCGTGCTATGGCAGTGAGGCCCAGCCTTCAACTCAGTCAGTGGCCAACACAAGCCACAAGTACTGTTTCTTGGACTTCTGCTGAAAGCAAAATATAAAATAAAATACTTACTGGGATATTGTATTTTTTCCTTCAATTTAAGCTCCAATTTCTTTGTTTTTTTCTTTTTATTTCCTTCTAAAGGCTGAGGTGGAACAAAGAAGTTCACAAGTTTACCCTAGTACAGACAACATTAAATAGCATTAGAAGTTCACATCTCTTCAATGCAATTCTGCAGTTCTTTAATAATCTTTTCACATTTGAAAATAAGCATGAACTGCTACAGAAATGTGCAATCTAATTATAAAAAAAACACTAAGAAAAAAAAATCCAGCATTTTACAATCTGAAGCCGCCAGTTACCCATTGACTTTTGTAGGATATGTTACCTAGATACCTCATTTTGGGGGTACAGAATGATGCCTATACAGCTCAGCTTCTTGACCACTGGTGTTCAGCACTACGCTTATAACAGAAAGCAAAGAGCAGCTAAACAAGCTGCTTCACAGGACGTGTGAGGAGGAAAGTGAAGACATGATGAAAAATTGTTGTTAAATATATTCTAAACAAGCCAATAAACAAATGTATTCCTAACATGAAATAAACGGTGAGTAAAAGCTTCTATTCACAGAGTAATCTTCCCTATTTTGGTATAGAAGGTTTGTCTAATGGATATTTGGCATTCTCCAATAACATGACAGGGGAAAACAGTTTCCAATATGTTAGACTAAGGCACAGATTTATACACTCAGGGAGGGTATCCAAACTACCAAGAGCCTACTGACAGCATATTGGCCTCCCAGCCCCATATAACAGTGGTAAACAATATCAGTTGCTACTTGAGTATATGTGACAAATATCACACATGAGAAAGCAGAATATTTCATTGTAATTTTAGTCCAATTTAAATTCTGGACTTCTATAAAACAGAGAGCAATAAACTCACTAGGAGAAATACATTTCACTATTTTCTATGGAAAATACTTTCTTCATATTAAATCTTACTTTAGTTTTCTTACCTCTGGTAATGACAGAACATCCTGTTTAATGTCTTGTCGGGTGTGAGTCAGAATAAGAGCCAGCACCTCTACTGTCTTCCCAAGACCCATCTCATCTGCCAAAATACCTCCAGGCCACTGAGGTCCAGCAATTGGATATTCACGGATAATACTAGAATTCAAGCACAGTTGCAAACCAAAATCAGTGAGTGTAGAATAGCATGGCAGAGTAGCACGCGTTCAGGGACACACAGTTTCAGCAAGGCAAAGGTTTGAGGAAAAGGCAGTGCCTTTGATATCAGCTAAGCTTGATAATAAAACAGCAAGCACTTGCATGTACAATCCTGGTTTGAAGAGCAATGTGCACGCCAGCAAGTTCTGGGGTCTCTGCACCTCTTAACTTGCTGTCACTTGCTAATCTTTGGCCATCACAGATACTTGCCTTTCAGAGACTAGTGTCTCTATTTATAGTTTCATGAAAAAGAACTGAAATTTATGTTTGTTAAAAACAGGGAAAAAATAAAGAGCAAAACAGAAATCGAAAGATTCTGTTCTAACCAACTTCATGAGACAACTGAAGCAAAACTAGTGCATGCAGACAGCTAGTATTCATGAAAAGGTGCCTCCTTTCTTTAGCTTTTAAAAACCTTAGAACAAAAAGACAAAACTGTCAAGGATCTAATTTAAAAAGAACGTTAATCCTAATCTTAAAAACAAAAATTTGTATTGAATAATAAAAATTAATTTTAAAAAGCTTAAGAATTAAATCTTACATTCAAAATTTATGTATTTACTTCTACATTGGATATTTGTTTCACTTTCTGTTCAGTCATATATATCCCTTTTCAAACTCTTTAGTTGCTAACTGAAAAACTACAATTATGGATTACTTTACATTCTCCAGGTAAAAGATGCTAATAAGGCTTCACAAAGTACAACTTTGAGATGTTGTCAGAAAGAGATAACCACAGAACCATACCAGCCAGTATATGGATTATAGTAGATTTTTGCTCCATCTGGCGTGATGATCTCTCGCCATAAGAAGTGCAGTGCGTTTTCTACGGAGAAAGAGGTTATATTATTAGCTTTCTCTATAAAGAGCACAATACTTAGAATTGCTCCATCTCACTGTGACATTTAAAGAGAAAACAAAACCAAATCAACAAAATAAATGCATTAAAAAACACCCACGGACCTCTACCTTCACAGAATTTCATGACCAACAAGCTAGACAACCAGCTGATCAAAGTTTGTTTAATTTATCATTTATTCGACAAACAACTTTTACAAAACAAGAAATGAAGTGACTAACAAAGCTTCTAAAGGAACAGCAAGGAAGTGTTACTGCTGACAATGCAACAGCACCTTCTTCCCAATTTTGAGCAGTATTTTTATTGGGAAATAAATTTTCCAGACACATAATACTTGCCATTGCTAGGAGAGTTTATGAAGTTCTCCCGTCGAAGCATCCAGTTTACAGCCTCCCTTTGGTATGGCCTCAGAACAGGAATTAATGCAGGATGCTGCACATCCTCTCTCAGTAATGGGATGTCCTGCTGATGAGTACGCCTTACAAAGTCATAAAGTTCTTCGATATTTTGTCGCTCTAATTCCATGTCAGATTCTTCATCATCTTCATTCAGCACATCTATATACACCAAGTTATATATATGAAACTGTCTTAATCACTGCACCTGACATTTTTTTGTACATACCTAGGAATAATTGCACAACATTACAGTCAAAGAATATTAACCATAACTAATAATGTAGAAAGAAACAGCTTGCAGCATTTTTCCCAAACAGAAGTGCCAAATCGTTTCCATAAGAAAAGGCATGATACAATGTGCCTGTATAAAACAGGCATCAATACCTTCCCTAATGATTTTTAGTCAATGGACCAATTTTAATACATTCTACAAGGGGGCAGAGAATTCTGAAAGACATTAAATTCCTATCAATTCAAGAGAATAGGCAACTAGATCTAACACCTGTAAGGCAAGTGAGGCAACTAGAGTGCACGTCATGTTATTAATGCCCAGCCAAGGTAAAAATCACTAGATGAGCATGCAGCTTTAGATATCACAGAAGCCAGGCAGAGAGGCCCACTCACACAGATTCCTTGCAGAAACTACAGTTTCTGGTCTATCATTTTGAACAACTAAGTTCATCAGTAATGACATCTGTGGTAACATTCAGTGATATGTAACAGTTGAAGTCTCACATTTCAGAGCATAATAAATTGACTTTTGTATAAATTAAGCCTATCTGTAATTTTATGGGGAAACAAAGACAAAAAAATAATAAAAAAAAGGTACTTTAATTTCTCTTTTAAACAACTGGGTATATCCTGTCCACCCCTGTCCTGCTTTTATCATACCTTCACTGCTTTCAATCATACTCTCGTTTCAAACATTTTTTTTTCCTGATTAAGTAACTCTATACACCACAGAGAATTTTAAAAGGATGCTAAAGAAGTTAACCTCTCTCCCAATTGCTTATTAAGTATCAAATATTATGTTTTCAATTTCAAAAATGTAATTCAATTATAAAGCTTTCACCCCTGTACTCTTTACCTTTCAGAAACAGATGGCATCTTCATTGTTCAATTCAATTGTTCTAATTGTGTTTCAGAAGCAAGTATTCTAATTAGTTCTTTTAATTACTGAAAGCTGCTATTGCATCTGTAGTATAACTTTTTAATATCATATGTAGTTTGCTGGTTCTTTTAACACTGAAAATACCTTTAAGTTGAATGTAAAATACTGACATCAATAACAATTTAATATTGCCTTTATTCTAGATTAAATGAAAACCTGTTGGCTTTCATTTCAGAGTTAAAAAAGCAATAAAAATATTAAAAACTTCAGCTTAAGAAGAATTTCTCTCTTTTTTAATTAAAAAAAAGAAAAAGGCAAAACAAAACAAAGCAAGACTCAATCTACTAACTTATTTATCAGCATTCAACTGAACGTGATTCAACTGAATCACATTACCTGGAATTATAAAACTATAGAACTTTTCCATGAGTTTCTGAATCAGCTGATTTGCTTTTTTGGGTCTTCCACCTCCATCACTGAGAAACTCTGGTTTGCTTAATCCAGCTTCCAGAAGGTAAATTCCAACCTGTGAAACGTTTGTAGACATAATTACTTAATTTATTGAAGTACTAAGAACACTATAAACAGAAAAACACGAAAATGGACAGTGTTTTTATACCAAAAAAAAACATAATCACCATGTTTTGAAAATTATCAGTTACTAAATCTGCAAATATCACCATGCAGAACATCCAGTATGTTGCAAGCAAGACTTCGATTCCTTCTAATAATGCATCAGTAACAGAGCAACAGTAAAGGGTCTTTGTTTAGAAAAAAAAATACACACTGAAAGCATTTGCACAGTCATGTGGAAACTGTGTTGTGAACTGCTGTTCACAAAAATTATTTTAGAATTCATAAAAAAGAAGAACTTTAAAATACGTAGCAAAGAAAATAAAACACACAAACAAATACCTTTAGAGTCTGACCCTCTCTCGGGCATTGATAAAGTCCAATTATCCTTTTCTTCTGCAGCCACCTCAAGCCTTCCAATATCTCACCACCCAAAGATGGTTCCACCAAAATGCTTTGTTCGTAAGCACCCAAGTATTCTTTTGTATCATTATTGGTTGCTTCTTCACTTCTTGCATGGACACAGATCTGCAGCTGATCATCAGATTCTCCTCTCATCAAAGTAAAACTCCTTTCATGGAAGTCCTCAGTTAGACTTTGCTCAGGAGGAAGATGAAGCGCAAGTTCTCCTAGCAAAACTTTCCAGGAAGCATCCTCGCGGTACGGCAAGACTATGATATTTAGCTGCACTGTTAGAGGAGTCAAGACAGAACACGAGTCTTCCTCATCATTAGCTGTCAAAAACGTAACGGATTTTGAACCATTCTGCTTTTTCTGAACAAGCTCTTCATCAACACTATCATCATTTATAACAATGAAGGATGCTGAAGAAGTGCTTGTACCGGGAAGGGGATCCTCATCAGTCATATCATCATCTAATGTTATCACCTCAAATCTCCGGTCTTCATGCATGTTCCAGCAAAGCTGCTTCTTCTTCTCATCATCTACTTTGGATGGAGGCGCACGTTTTCGACGACTACTCATTTTGTCCTGTCTCAACAGTATTTCTAGTCTCTGTAAAACAGGCTCACATTAGTCAATGATAAATGTTACAAAAAGTAAACACCCACATTTTTTTTTTTTGCTGTGCAGTAGCTGCTGAACTTGCAAAAGTTTTGGACACAACCTATATATGCCAAGAAATCTAAATGCTGAGTAGCCACATAGTTTTACAGATCAATTTCTGTCTTAATGGAAAAGCATTATGCAAAGCTAGTCTTGGAGCACTTGTCTCAAACTGTATCTTCCCATTTTGTCAGACAGCTAGATGGAGAACAACAAGAACACTGCATGTCATAGCTGTTGCTCAGAAGAGACCTCCTGATTCTGGGCACTTCACAGGTGAGAGCTTAAACCACTGGTCTCCAGAGCCAGCCCAACCCCATGAATATGTGATATTTATAAGTGAAACAACTCTAGCAGAGACATTAATGGACAAACTGCACATGGGCACTAACAGCTCACAAATGGAGTCAGGTCAGGTCCACATTGTAGGTATGGAGCTTTTGTATGGTTCTTGCACTTAATTGTTTTTTTTTTCAACAGTATCATTAGCAGAACTCATTATAGCTCGTAGAAAACATGCTAATTTCACACAACTGCAAACAACAACAACAACAAATCCCTCTGCCAATCAGGTCTGCACGTGCAGAGATTACAACT